TCAAAAAACACTAAAGTTTACTATACAGTCAAATAAGAATACTCCTCAGTATTTGTGCAAGTGAGTGTGATTTTTGGGTATTGGTGGCTACATTCATACTGGTACAAAGGTGGCAAAGAAATGAAAGGCATCTAGGGCAACCAGACTGCATTTGGGGTATATCTTATTTATGATACACAACAAGTGCCAGGTAAAAATCTGGACTTGCAAAGTAAACCTATTAACAGTTGATTATTTAATTTTCCAAAGCATTCGCTGCTGGGTATTTTTAAATTGTAGGCAGTGCAAAGTATTACAATGCTTGCCACGTTGATTACTAAAAGCAAGGTGTATGCACCCCTTCCACACCTGCAAACAGGTCCTGGGTTTGCCTCACAGGCAAGTTTATTTCCTTTTTTTTCTCCACCTCTCCCACAAGGAACTTCTAAATAGATGGATTTGCTAACAGTTTTATTCACATCTCTACCAAATTTGTTCGGAAAACTTGGCATTTAGCAGTGGTTGTAAATTTGCTACTGCCACTAATCACTAATGTGGGTGTACCTGAGAAGAAAGCATCTCACAAATGAGGTAATGCAAGTGGGCCTGGGAGGGCTGAGTTCAGGGTCTCCTGCCTGACAATAAACTTCTTGCATCCTGATTTTTCTTCCTCCATTTACTCAGAGGTAGAAGCACAAAGAGTAGAATTTGTGGCGTCAGGTTCATTTATATACGTGCATTGTTCAAAACCATTTGTGACTTGGGCAGGGCTGAATTTTTAATTTCTGTGATCCTAGGTAAGAAAAGATTCAAATGACCCACATAAAGTTAACAATTAAGAGTTTAAAAGAACAAAACACAAAAAACTTGTTCTTTTGAAGTGAAAAGTTTCGGATTATCTTAAAGTAAATGGATTAGCAAAAATGTGTCTCCTTACAATGACTCAAGTATAATTACTGATTTTGTTTTTAACCTTTTACTTCTCTTTTTCTCTGATTCTTTAAGCAATTATATTCAGAATTGATATAATGGTGTGCTCCATTAGGAGTTCAAAGGCGATTTGCTCACAATTGAAAACTTTTGTGCTTCAAAGACACTATCAAGAAAATGAAAAGTCAACCCACTGGAAGAAAATGTTGGCAAATCATATTAGCAATAAAGGATTTGTATTTAGAATTCATGAACAAGTCTTATAGGTCAATAAGGAGAAAACAACCTAATTTAAAAATGAGCAAAGGATTTGAATAGACACTTCTCCAAAAAGATATGCAAGTAGGTAATAAGCACATGAAAAGAGTGTCATCATCTTTGGTCGTTGAGAATACAAATCAAAACCACAATGAAACCAATTTTCTGCCCACTAGAATGGCTATAATAAAAAGACTGACAGTAGCAAGTGTTGGCAAGAATGTGGTGAAATTAGAACTCATACATTGCTGGTGGGAATGTAAAATGATACAGCCATTTTGCAAAACAGTTTGGCAGTTTCTCTTTTTTTAACTTTTTTTTTTTAAATTTATTTATTTTGAGAGAGAAAGAGCATGCACACATGTTTGGGCATAAGTGGGGGAGGTGCAGAGAGAGAGAGAATCAGAGGCAGGCTCTGCATTGTCAACACAGAGCCCCACAGAGTCCCACAGAGCCCCCACAGAGCTCGAGCTCACAAACTGTGACATTATGACCTGAGCTGAAATCAAGAGTCAGATGCTTAACTGCCTGAACCACTCCGGAACGCTGGTTAGTTTCTTAAGTTAATCATAGATTTACCATATGACTCAGTAATTCTACTCCTACTCACAAAAAATTGGTAACATGTATCTATACACAAACTTGTACACAAATGTTTGTAGCAGCATCAATAACAACATCCAAAAAGTCAAAACAATTCAAGTATCTCTCATCAGATGAATGGATAGACAAAATGTAGAATATCTATACAATAGAATACTATTCATCAAAGAAGAGACAACATGCTACAACATGGATGAACCTCTAAATCTCAAAAACATCTCAGTAAAACAGCCTGATGTAAAAGGGCATATATTATTCTATCTATATGAAATGTTCCCAAAAGGTAAACATTTAAAGACAAAAAAGTAGATTATTGGTTGCATAGGGCTGGGAGTAAAAATGAGGGTGATTGTTAATAGGCATAATATTTCCTTTAAGGATGATGACAACATTCTACAATTGGATTCTATTGATTCACTAAAATTCATTGAATTGGGGGCGCCTGGGTGGCTAAGTCAGTTAAGCGTCCGACTTCAGCTCAGGTCATGATCTCACGGTCCCTGAGTTCGAGCCCTGTGTCGGGCTCTGTGCTGACAGCTCAGAGCCTGGAGCCTGTTTCGGATTCTGTGTCTCCCTCTCTCTCTGATACTCCCCCATTCATGCTCTGTCTCTCTCTGTCTCAAAAATAAATAAACGTTAAAAAAAATTTTTTTTAATAAAAAAATAAAATAAAATAAAATTCATTGAATTGTACATCAAAATGAGTGACTTGTATGGTGGTTGGTAAATTATATATCAATAAAGTTTATGGGAAAAAATTGTAAGTTCAAACCCAGATCCTGAGGGAAACTACCACTTACCAGATGGTATTCTTAATTTTGGTGAGCTTCTCTGTATTGTACAAGGTTAGTAAGGACCCAGACTTGGACAATGAATTTAGAAAAATGCAGGTTTGGTATTTATTTTATGGAAGTTATCTGGGTGCTTGGTTTGGGGAAACAGGAGCAGAACTGGGGTGATAGGACACATGCTCTTACATGGGCATTGCTACTTGATGATGGCTGACAGGATCCAGGAAGGTGCCCAAGATGATCAGCTAATTCCAACTCTGAAGCTTCAGTTTCTTCCGGGGATTCTTTAATGAGTTTCAAGGAGTAAGATGCAATGAACTTAACTCCTGACAAAAATATTTCCTGACTGTTGACAACAAGAATAGATTGTCTTAAATTGGAGGATATATTAAGTAATTTTAAACCTGACAAACAGGACTCCAATTTCAAGAGCTTTTAATAGCATCTTTCTCTAGACCTTAAATATGGTGGAAAAACTTATGAAATTCCCTCCAAAACAAAAGTAAAGAAAAAAGCTCTTATTTTGATATCATTTCCCAGAGAACAGACACTATGCTAGTGCTAAATAAAGTTAAGTGTGCCTTCAATGCCTTAGTGTCTGCTTGTACCCCTACACCTGTTTTTTTTTTTCCTGGTGAGAAAAATAAAGAAACGGAAAACATGGTCTCACAAGCTTCAAGTCTCTGTCCAAACTTATTTATGAAGTGTAGAGGTCCAAGTTCCAACACAATCGTCATTTTGAGTGAAAATTTTTCTCTGAAAATGTAAAATAGGCACACATTAAGAAGCCAAATGTTCGTTAGTTACCTGCTCCCATCCTCCACTCTCCCCCTCTTGTTTTCAAGGATATGTTCTGCATGATGGAAGCTAAAAGGTGGCAGCTGTGCCAAAGTAGTGGACCCTAAATCGCTGAGCAAAAATGAGAGAGGAGAGGCTCTGATTGCTCACAGTACAGGAGTGAATATGCGCTCTCAACCACAAATCAAGGGAACTGAAAAAAAAAAAAAAAAAAGGCCCAATCAAGGCAGTAATGGCCTCCACTTCACAATCAGACAAGTGCTTCTTACTTGAAAAATCCTACCATTTATAGCTGATTGCTAACCCTGGCCTCATTTCTAATCTAAAGGGCGAGTAATAATTTGGAAAAGAAATTATAACAACTTCCCAACAATTTAGCAAATTGTTATTATTTCAGGGGGAGGGGAGGGGGTAGAAAGGAGTTGCTTTTGTAACATGTTTCTCTTGTGGGCTACCATTTTTATGACATCAAATCCCATTGCTTCCATGCTAGAATACCAACTAAAATATATTGGAAATCTGTATCTTTTAAATGGTGATATTTTATGCCACATTACATATTTCAATACGGTCAAAGTTACGGGTCTCTGAAGAAAACCGGAGGAAGAAGGGGTGTCAGTTCTTTCGTACACATTTACCTACAATATTCCCAAATAAGTTTGAGTGAATGTCCTTGAGTATCACTGTTTTAGAAGGGATTTTGACCTTTTGGAGAATTTGACTTCATACAAAAAAAATTTATGCTGTTAAATACTCCACTGGCTTTTTCCTTCATTATTGCAGTGTTGATGGACTTGGTTCAGGTAAGGTTTCTGTTACTAGAAATATAGTCATATATAATCATCTTCTACACTCTTACTTTTGAACTTCTACATTAGAATGAAATATATATTTCATGTATATATTTCATATATATATATATATATAAACATAGGTACTGGTTTGGAAATTAATGTAATTGTTTTCTACTGAGCAAAACATTCACACACACAGACACACACACACACACACACACACACGTGTATATAATATTGTATGAAAGAGGTTAGGACCATGCTGCTTTCTATGAAAGAAAATTACTTGATAAGAGTATGGGACAGAGGTATATTGAATAACAGAGGCAGAAAAGATACTGGAGACCACCCTATTCAGCCTCTTAATTATTATACAAATGAGGAAACAAAGGCTGGGTAAAGGTAGTAGCTTCCTAAAGGCCACACAGCTAGTAAATGTCAGATTAAATTAAAACCTGGATATCTTTACTCCCACCATTGCACCTTTTGCATTATATCCTTTCTTCCAAATGCCTTTAAATTATGTATTTTTTTTTTTAGGAATGTGACACGCTAGTACCATCTTGTACAGACAGCAGTGATTTTTGTGAGAAAATATGATGCTTTTGTGAGCAATAGCACTGTTTGTGCATGTGATACCACTTTCTGTTATCCTTGTAATGAAACTTCTCTGTAGTTTAGAACCCTTTCATCTTTAGGGATGAGAAGATTCAAATGTCACCTGTTGAAAATATATCTCATTCTCTTTTATTTTCCAAATGAAGAAGACCAGTTGCCCACAACAACTACAATAGACAATGAGTAGCAGAACTCAAACACAGTATTGTTCTTGCATTTCTCTTTTCAGGTAGGCAACCGACAGAAGAATTCTGCGGACAGAATTCAGGCCACTGCAGCTGTAGCTGTACACAGGCAACTGGCATGTCTGGAAAATCGGGTGGTAATTCTGATTCTAACTTAGCAAACGTGGGACTCCCTATCATTTGAATCAATGTAAGCCCAATTAATGTGTTTTTTATTACTTATTCATTTTTAGCAGAAAAGAATCACTTTCTTTCGGTATTTTTCATATGTCTAGCAAATACTAGGTATAGAAAATACCTCTAGTGTTGAATCAAAGGGAATACTCTGATTTAAATTGAAAATGTTAAACAGAATACACCATGCTTTCTGAAGCACAACAGATTTTAAGCAGATCTAAAAATTGGATTTAGAAAAACAAATATAACTATCTTTATTTATGTGTGTAACTAGAGTAAGAAGGCTAAATTTTTCAGATACCCAGAAATGATTTATAGCTTGTAATTACCTACTCCATTCAATATAAACAGGATCATAATTCATATTACATAATCTATAGCATATTCTAAAATATATAATGCTACTCTGAAAAAGAAATTTCCTCTCATGTCCACCACTATGCCCTGAAAGTGATTTTTTTTTAAAATAAATAAAGACTTGACATTATTAAGTCTCAGAGACGAAAAACAAAGTATTTTTAGGAAGGAGCTTAAAATTTTAAATCTTTAAAGAGTAGGAAATCAGATATTGTAATGGAAGGTATTCATTTTGTTATGGGAAGGAAAAGCTCTGTTCTAATGGATGTATTTGCTGTACTTCACAGATGTTTGAAAATTAGCGAAAAATAAGTAAGACTTTCACTGTGGCTGAGGAGGATCGGAATGTAAAAGCTTAAAGAAACGGAATAGCAAATCCAAAAGTCGATAAAATTTAAAGTAATTACCGTAGGCAAAAACACGAGATAAAGTACCAGGCCTGTGAAGTAGCCGGAATATTTTAGAATTAACAAAAATGAACTTTAGATAAGAAACTTAAAGCATTCTTTCATTTAATAGTTTCCAAATTAGATAAAGTAACCGAATCTACTCACAGTCCAACTAGGAGAAAAATTTAGGGATCTGAGCCCAGGAAAATGTTTTTCAAGGATAGCACTCTTCTAAGAAGTGTCATATTCCGAACCTTCTGTTTTATTAAAACTAAGTATTTTAGAATATTCACACAAGCTAAAATGACCTCTAGTGTTAGGAAATAGATTCTTTAGGGTGAATCAAAAGCACCAAATATTGTTTATAAATACAGTAATGTTAGCACACACATTTGGTCACTGCCTTTAATACAATTAGCTGCTTTAGTCAACACAAAAAGACAAAGTGTGCGATAAAAGCAATCTCTTTTCTCTTGCCCATAAAATAAAAGAATATCTAATCCTCAGATCCACACAAGCAGTTTTAGATTTTTGTCATTCAGAGAGACTTTTGCTCTCATTACAAAATATATGTTTATAACTATGAATTATAGCAGATATGCCTGCAAGGGGAAAAAAAAAGAAGACGTTTTAAATAAAAATTCTGGTAGCATCATCCAGGACAATGTGTGGAACAATTTCAAGCAGGCTTCTTGAGTAGTAAAGGCATCTATATATGGGAAATCCTAGCTTTTATGGGCGAAATGGAAAAGTACTCAAGTTGTTTTAGCTGTATAAATCATTAGACACATTATAAAGAGACTCTAAAATGTAGAAGTACTTAAAAACACTTGTTTCATTAAACCTATACAAATAAATTTTGTAGTAGCTACTTAACAATTCAGTTATATCTTAAAGAGCAAATTTTGGAGGGAGAATGTAATATTATGGAATGAAGTTCCACAAGGCATCATAGAAGAGCAACATATACACTGTAAAGGTATCTCTTTACTGAGAAAAATACAACCAAAAGAGTGTTGTATTAAGATTCTCTATTAACTCTATTATGATTTTTGTGTTTGTGGCAAAAAAATGAAACTAAATACCAGTCAGTGCTATTTAGAGAAGCAAGGAGGAATTAGAACACAAATTAACAAAAACCCTGAATGCACTGTAATAAATTCAAACTGAAACATTAAAATAGAAAATATAGGCATATAGTTAAGTGTTTTAGAAACAATTGACTGCAAATGATAGATACATATGCTAAAAATGGGTTTTATATGCACTGCATTATTTATCAATGAAAATTAGAAAAAAAGTGAAAGTAAGAGCTAATAAAATGCAGATTTGTGATACAGGTTAAAAAATAAAAATTGCTTAACTGAATATCCAAGCACAATGTAACTAGTTTCAGAAAAAAAAAACTAATACCGTATACATATGCATATTGAAAATACACAAAACCATTTTCAAATACACATTTTGAATTCTGCTCTAAGCCTAATTTGAAAGCTTTCCTGGAAAAAAACACCAAGCTCCTTCCTATGTGCTTACTGCTACCACAGTAATTATCTACAAAGAATACGCCATGATGATAAATTTCATTACTCAATAACATGAGTAAACATTAAAATATTTAAAGAATATTGTACTGCATTATGGCTTATTCTATTTAAATCTCACAATTATAGCAGCCTTTTCTTCTTGTATTTCTCTATGGGATGAATTGCTGGGATTTGATAATCTGCTGCTAATGCAAGCTGATATTACAGTCATATGACCTAATTAAACATCAGGATTCATATTTAAAATATATAATTACCAGAGTGTCATTTTTAAAAATGTAATTACTAGTTTCTACTTTAACAGTAAAAATTGATGTACATGTCAACAGACTATGGAAAGTTTTCTGGAAAATGTTTTTCTTCTATGATTGTAAAGAAACAATGAAAAATATCAGTGTTGAAACCCATCATTAATATTATTTTCACAGAATAAATTCCCTTGTCTTTCATCATTGTGAAAATTTCTGCTTCAAGAAGTATATTACATGTCATTTCTTATTGTCACTTGGAATCCATTCATCTTTCTTTACAGGAACATATTTTCATTTTTGGCATTAAAGAAATCCAGGCACAACATTAGCATGATAGGTAAGTGAAGCACAAACTTCCATTATTTTACAACAAAATAGACCCAAAGATTTGGGGCTTTGGGGAGGAATTTTTCATTTCTGAATTGCACAAAATCATTTATAATTACCTCTTAGTGATTTCAGTATCACAAATCCCTTCTGATTAGCCCTCTTTAAAAAAGAGACGAACCTGCTTTAGAATTGTTTGGCCCTGTTGGAAGCCCTGTCTTAGAGAACGACAGATTATGTAATTAAGTTGAATCGTGTATTTTCCATAGAAACAAGGCATGATACTGGAGCTAATGCGAGCTATATGCACATTTCTATATTTAGGCTGCTAACGTCAATAGGGCAGCAGTCACCGACAGACCAACCAAGAGTTAAGGCATCATATGTAGCTTTTTGATTTTAAAAAATAAGGAAAGACAGAAAAAGAAGCGACTATAGAAATGACTGATGAAACGTAACCCTTTTAAAGAACTAGTCTTCATTCCTTGAGTGAAATAATGTCCCCTCAAATAGTATTTTCCCACTTAAAGGATTGATTTGCTTAGAGTGCAGTATAGAGAAGTCTGGGGAAATAGTTAAGTAGAGCATCCAAAAAAGAGATCCAGGCAAGAAAGTAAAAACATAAGTTCACAAAGGAACACATGCCAAGTACCTCCAGAAGTTTGTAAGTGAAAATGCAAATGCAATATTTAAGAAAAATGCTCCTTTGTTTTTTCAAATACACAGTGTGAACTAGAGATTACAAGGTTAAGCCAGATGTTCCCAAGACGACATCCAACACACAATAGCAGTAGGAAGCACACACAAATCACTGAAGATTCCTCAGCATTTGATTATCTTTATCTTTGAATTAAGAACACTATGGCTTACCAGGCTTTACTTTTAGATTCTCTAATTTCTACTTTTTACCGCCAAACCACAGAGTCCTAAATACCCAGTTGTGCTGTGTTTTGAAACCCTCTGTCCTGCACTCTACATTGAAAGTGTGCTTTCATTTACATTTCTTCTATACAATCGCAAAGAAAATCCAGTGTCACAAAAGCCCCTTAAATCAAGGGATCAAAAAAAACCTATAAACGGTGTACAAAATCTAGAATGTGTTGTCTAGAATAAATCACCAGGAATCAATGAGCCTCCATTTTAGGACAATTCTTTTAGACCAACAGCAATGGATTATTTAGAGAGTTGGTTATTGTATATTTAAATTTTGTAACTAATTGTCGTCTAAGTGTTGAGCTTCTATTTAAGGTAAAGAATAAACAGGATTGCATGAGGAATAATAACATAAAAATACTAAACAAAAAATTTGACCTGGAAATCTATAATCCAAATAAATGTAATTATTCACTCTTTCTCTAGGATTCCTATAGATTTAATACAAATATACAGAGAGAGACAGCAATTTTCTTTTCAGGCCTATATAGAGTCATCTATAGATATATAGATTCATCTTATGAATTTGTACAAAATTGCATTGGTTATTAATTCTTGCACATACATTTTACTTACGTGTGTGTGAAAAATATTTGAAGTTAAGAAGATGATCTTACAATTCTAACTATATGTAAATTTTAGATTCAAGCAGACTAAAATTTTGAAGTAAAACTTGTTCCCAGTATTTCTTTTATTGTACACCATAGACATGATACAATTTTAATGGCTTACTGGAATAACAAAGGTGACCATTTCTGAGTATATGGCTTTTGTTATTAAAATACCAAGTATCATTTGACATTACTTGATTTCATTTTTAGAGGAATAAATGGCAGAGTTTTTTTGTTATTTTTTTCTTAAAAATAAAAACATCAAAATATTCTGGAATTGGTTTTATAAAGAAAAGAAAACAAACCAAAAACCCACACTCACCATTTCAGTTTTAAATGATGCTCAAACCGCTCAGCCAAGTCCACTGTTTGTAGTATTCTGCCACCTGCTGGCTGCTTGTGAAAACTCTAGAGAATGTATTTCTTTTTCTTTCTCTACCCTCCCATTTATAGAACTAATGAATTAAACTTCAATTTGACAATATGCCTGTTACTGTGGGAACACTGGCTGGTTTGTGTGACTTACTAATTTGCTTTTGCCTCATTTCAAAGCATCAGTACACATTAGCCACAAGATTCACAGGAGGTTTGAGTAACTTATTGGCAATTGTTAAGTAAAACGAAATTAGCCAGATTTTTTTGGTTTCTGCATGGTGCTTTTTTCCCCAAGGAGTTAAGAGAAGTTTATTTAAGACTTACCATGTCCTGGAAAATAGATAAGGGCAGATATGAAATGGTGAAAAACTGAGGAACAAAGGAACTTATTAAATGAATATAATGAGATTGCATTTCTGTGTATTAATGTGAACATTCCTGCCGCTACATTACAGGGAAATAAACTTAGGAGACAGTTTGAGATGTCATTTCTGTCAACACATCTCATGGATGCTGTAAACTGTAAGATCCAGGCTTTGAATAATAATCACTTACTAACTGATTATTATACACTGATGAATCATTTCATAATTATGTGTGTGTGTGTTTTTTAAACTTGCTGTCATGAACACACCTAATGTTCAGAAAATAATTTCTAAATGCCAAGGAACTGGGCTCTTCAGCTGATTCTGTGGCTGGGGGCAGTACATGATGAACTTGGGACATCTTCTTGTGTAAAATAATAAGGAAATGGTTAAAACCTGATGGGAACATATCAAAAGAGACACGAGCCAAACTGAAGTGACTCACACTGTCTACATCTGGGACAATTAAGAATGATAGCAACAGATTATAAACCATTGAATAAAATATTTGAATCCATAGTGATCTCTCTCTCTCTCTCTCTCTCACACACACACACACACACGGCGAAGGGGAAACTTTCTCTTGAAGTAGAATGCCAACTAGTAAATGTAGAAGGAATAAAGGAATAGTAAATTACTCTTTTGTAATTATCATGGTAATAACTGATTCAAACAAGAATTATGCTACAACGTATGGATAGAAGTTTGATGAAGGACAGATTATTTGCATACTCATAAAGTATAGCATCCTACAAATTTCTTATTAAAAATAAAGGAAAAAATATTATCTTAAGAATGGAGAAACCTAGCAGATATCATATTAAGAATTAATATTAGGACCACTGATAAGATAAACTGAAGTCACATGTCTCCTAAAATTATATATTGACAAGAACTCATCATTGTGTAGTTTTCTTGCCAAAAATGCATAACCTGAATCTAACTATGAATAAATATGAGAAAATATACACTGATAGCATTTTTAAAAACCTTCTCCATATATTTCTCAAACATGTCAGTGTTATGAGGACAAAGACTTGCTAACTAATTATTAATGATTAAAAGAGACTAAAGAGAAATAGAAAGTCAATGCAATTTAAAAAAAAATTTTTTTAACGTTTATTTATTTTTGAGACAGAGACAGAGCATGAACAGGGGAGGGGCAGAGAGAGAGGGAGACACAGAATCTGAAACAGGCTCCAGGCTCTGAGCTGTCAGCACAGAGACCGACACGGGGCTCAAACTCACGGACCGACTCACGACCTGAGCCGAAGTCAGACGCTTAACCGAACAAGCCACCCAGGCGCCCCAAGAGACAATGCAATTTACGTTAAGTTCCTAAACTGGGTCTTGGATCAGAAAAACAAATGATTAAAAAGCATATCATTGAGACAACTGATGAAATTTGATAGGATTGGTGGATTATATAGGTTTTTATATTTTTATTGAGATTATATGAGACTGTCTTCATTCTTAGAAAATATGCATCGAAGTATTTAAGGATAATGAAGCATGGTATCTTCAACTTCCTCTCACATGGTTCAGAAAAAATAGTTATATTTATGGGCATATATGTATATACCGATATACATAAAAAGACAGAGGGAAATGGAGTAGTCAATATGGGGGAAATCACTTCACAATAAAAAGATTTCAAAAGACTTTCTATAAGAACAGGATCTATAACCTTTGGTCACAAGGTGTATCTTGGAATGCTGAATCTGGAAATGTGGATACCTCATCAGACATAAAGCATGATACTATGCACAGTGTCTTCGAAGCTTAGTTTTTCACCTTATCCCTTGATTTTATCAATCATGTAAAGATTCTTCCAAGAAATGAATAGTAGGATTTGACCAGGAATTTGTGATTTGTCTATAAAGTAATAAATTAGATAATGCTCTGAACTCTCACACATATAATGTGTCTATAAACTGAAATAGTTTAGAGAGTACTTGTTAGAAACCAACAATGTGCAAGGAATCAGAGATACAAAAATGATAGAAATATACCTTTCTCCTTCAAGTCGTCAAAGTTTAATAGGATGGTGTTGGTGGACGTATATGTGTGCAATTAACAAATATCAAGCTACTCCTTGATTTGTATGATTATAAAGATACAAACAAAGTGCTATGGAAATATAATAATGGGAGGGTGCTATGGGAAAACAAATGGAGGTAGTTGATTCTGAAATGGGCTATCCGGAAAGCTTCTGAGAAGAGGCAACATTTGAATGGGATTTGATTGATGAGTAGTAAAGAGCACAGAAGGTCTAGGCAACTATGTGATGGTGTACACAATACAGTATTTAATAATGCTACAAGATGGAAAGCCTTGTGGAGGTAGGGGCTTTGTCTTGTTTCTATGTGACTGACACATAGTTAGGCACTCCATAAATATTTGTTAAATAACTATTGTGCAATTGTTGTATACATGTATGAATGGCAAGTAAACAATTTGGTCATTGAGAAAGATTTCACTTTCCTCTTCAAGATTTATATTTCGAAGAAGGAGTTTTTAAATTATTATTGGTATAGCTAAAGAAAGTAGGTCACTTCTATGATATATAGGCATGTGAAAAGTTTGTGTTAGTAAATTTGACAGAAATATCTGGAAAAGGGTATATGGAAAGGGAAATAAATTTCTGGAAACTTCCTATAACCTGTCACTGACTTGAAAATGAACCAAACCATAAAGGGTTAGTATCCAAAATCTATAAAGAGCTTACCAAACTAAACACCTAAAAAACAAATAATCCAGTGAAGAAATGGCAGAAGACATGATAGA